TACAAGCCTTCCATAAACAAAACAAACTTAAAATTTTTAGGTTAGTGACGTTGAATCCAAATGATGTATCCATGACAGGCGTTACTGCGATGAGCCACTCGTCCAAAGTTGACTATGCAATGTCAACTGTCACAGTATCTACTTGACTACAATGTCGTGACATGACACATACGCAAATTTGCACCCCTCTCTCTCTCTACCAGTGTGAAAGCACAAAGGACAGAGCGCCCGCAAATATTGACAACACTGTCCATTTCTGTGTGATAGTTGGAAAAACTGCGATACGTAACTGTGCCAAACATACACTGAACATAAACAAAATCAAGTTGTAGGTGATAAAAAATAAAATAAAAATAACTGAAAAACATTTCAATAAGAGCGCAGTGTCAACCTCGAAACCCGGTCGAAAGTTTGCGGCTGCAATCAGTCATGTTAAGACAGCCTCAAGAACAAACCAGAGATTAGCTGAACACTGAGATAGCGTACCTGCGCTGTTTACGGCGTCCAAACTTTGATGAAAATGGTCAGCTGCCCAAATGAAAGCCGAATTAAAATTCCCAATTTGACTAGTTTGAAATGAGTCGAAAACATGCTCTCTGCACCGTCCAAAATTCGCGACTCCAACGACTTACCTTTTCCTTTCGGGGGCGTTTTGTGGTCGTAGCTGCGCGCTCTGGGCTCTGTCTCGGGACTTACGGCCCGATTGGTTGCAAACGACCGTCCAACGGATTGTGTGGCCTGATTGGCCAGCTCCTCAGTCAGACACTTGGCCAATTGGCGCGCCTCGTTGCCGCACACCGTGTGTGCATTTCTGCACAAAAAAAACATTAGCCGATTTGCTGCTGACCAACACATTCGCCTTACCCGATGGGAATTGGAGAACTGCTTTTTTTTAACCGGGAGCGGCGTCCTTGTGAAGCGCCATTCGCCGGTGCCTCCAAGTGTTCACATTGAAGGAGGTGCAAGGGGGCAACCTCCGCAATAGTGGGTGTTCCCATCAAGATTTTCTCCTCTTCGATCACCTCGATCTTACCATCTTCCAGCAGAGTCTGACTCTTCTCTTCGGGAGTTGGAGTTGTCGATGAATCGGGGCTCTAAACATTATTTTTAGCAGATGGCCTGGGTAGACGTGCACAGTCACTGGGAGTCTTACGGGAGTTTTGCTGGCCGCGGACTCGTTGCGGGAGTGAGGCCGGAAGCCCGGGCCTGGCGGCAAGTTCTTCTGCACGCAGCAGTTAACGCCCGGACTAAAGTGCAGCTCGATATGGAAGCGCTCTTCGCTGCTGGGGTCTTTGGTGGGGTCCTCGTATAGCATAATGACGATCTGCGACATGTAGTTCAGCTCGGAGACCATCGACACGTATTCCATTGCGCGACGCCACTGCTCGTCGTTCAACATCTGCATAATTCCATTATTCGTTTCGCAATGCGTCTCAACCATGTTAAACTTATATACAGGGTTATTCACGCTATACGGCACGGACGTTTGCGGCTAGTCCCTTTGTTTTTTGCAAAGTATTATTTGATGAATCCACAGACTCCTATCGGGTGCACATTTTAAAAATATTTTTGTAATGTACAGAGTGTCCCAAAAGCCCCAAAAGTATCAAAGTTGTGTTTTTCTAAATGAAATAC